TATATATATATAAATTAAATAAAGTATTGCGTCTTCGCTCTGTTCCTGTAATTGCCTGTTTGCATTTTCCCACATATATATATAATATATATATAATAGCCGCAGGTACGTATACTTTAACAAAGATTAGAGGATAACATCCTTATAATATTATAAATATATGATTAAGTGATATAGTTCATCATTTTATACTTTAAAAATAAGAATATATATTATTAAAATGAAAAATTGTAATTATTCAATAGATAGGCCTACAGGTATTACTAGATTTAACATGAAAAAAAAAATGTGCACAATATTTAATATTTGTACTACAAAAATGTATACCGCCCCCAAAAATTTGCCGCCCTGGAGCAAAAGCTCCTTTTGCACCTATGTTAATCCGGCTCTGGCTATAACTTATTGAAAAGTGTATGAATCAACACAATTTTTTTATGAGAAATAATATTTAAATACCTTTTTTATTCGACATACTTTATCTTAATCAGGATATTAATAAGGAACTAGCAGATCATGTAGCTTTTGGAATAATCCACCAATGTTTTAAAAGTAAACACTATCTAAAGATTTGCATGGAAGCGTTTTTTTTTATAGTGATTTTAATCACTGTCAGATATCATTATACTTGACTCAACTATGCTATGTCACCACAGTGTGTCTACCCACCTGTGCTGGGTTTTTTATTTTGTATAATTCGTGTCTGACTTATATTTTTGATTTTTGTTGACATTATTCAAAGCAAAAATATGTGATTATTCTATTTAACATATAACTAATGTCGCGAACCAATAAGTTTTTGGTAGAAAGGTCACTAGAACACCAACGTAGGACATAATAATAGATAACTTATTTATTATAACATTCCACTTTCTTTGCTCATTTTATTTGCTCCATTGTCGTCTTAAGAAGCAATGTAATACATTAAAACTTCTCTATTTTAAACCGCAGATTAAATTTTGCACAACAAACGTACATGTTATAAGAATTGCTTACATATAGCGCAATCCGATGTTATTAATAGGATCCCAGATTTCAATAAGAATAATTTTTTGATATACTGTTTATATTTTATTTTGACTATTTATTTTGACAAAATGAAAAAACATTACAATTTAACAATTACAAGGTAAGAAAAAATTTAAAAAATGTTTGTGCATACATTTAAAACTATAAAATAAAATCATAATTGTGTAGGTTTAAATTATAGAAATATATCGCCCCTAAGATAAATCATTGATTATATATGTGAAAGGCAAAGTCCACTGTGAGATACGCTGTTTATTTACCTTGTAGAAGTTTGTGTACATTGAAAAATTAATATCATTATATTGATTATATATCATTTTATTAATCATATATTGTATACGGTGAGATATATCACTAAAAAGTATAACAAGACGTATTCTGTAACTAAAATTACTGCAAAAATATGAGTACCGTCTGCGGTGTGCTATTAAATATAGGATTATTTTATTATTAGTATTATCTATGTTAGTAAATAATAAAATAATAAACTATTTATCGGTATTATGAGCTAATATTATCCCATGCTTTATTAATTTGTAATACTTTTCTTTTCCATAAATATTATTTACCATAAAAAGAAATAATGTTATTTGATAAAAGTGTACAAGATTTTATTATTTTTCAAAAAATTGCAATGAAAGCCAAAAATTGTATTCTTACATAATTCTTAACAAAATCACAAATACACTTTTTACATCAGATTTTCAAATTACATCAAGAAAAATTTTTACAAACCTTATTTAGACCTCTATTAGAGTCATGTAAACGACTCCTTGTAAAAGAATTGAGTTCTTATTATGTTTTAGTTATAAAAATGTTTGCAAATATTTTTTAATATTTAAATGTTCAATAGAATATTTACTACTATTTATTTATTTTACTTAAAATATTAAAAATTATTAGTTAATACAAAATTCTTTTCGAATTAAAGAAATAAATACTAAAATTTAATTTACTTGATTTAAATATTGTGTTATTGTATAACTCTAAAAATGTTCGAAAAAACAATTATTTGTTGAGATCTATACAAATATTATTTAAGCTATCTAAAATTACCCTTTTAAAAATATTAATAATGTATTAACTAGTAACACCCATTAAGCAGCTATACTATAATATATTATAAATATTTATGTAGTCATCAAAACCTACGCATTTGTTTAATTTAAAATAAATACGTGATTATAAAATACTTTGTTGATTAAAAAAAAATGTAATTCTACCTTTATTCCACCAACATTATTTATTATTGTAAAATACCCTAGAGATCACATAAACATATAAAATACATGTTGTCATTCTTTGACAATATCATTTCAGGTCCACGCCTTGGGCGTTGGAGTATATGAATTAAATAAATAATATGGAAAAATTACGCTTTCCGTGACAACTACAATAAATTAAAAATATATATATATATTATATTTCATAATACTAGGCAAACATTAAACGTCATATCGTATAATGTTGTCATCGTCAATCGTTCTAGTATTCTGGTTGATGTCATCACCACAGAAATGTTCAAATAGGCGTCCAAAATAATTCATTTCACTCTATTCATTACTTTAAGTTGAATATTGTAATTTTAAATAACTTCTTAGTGTTCAATTATTGAAATGATACAACTATCATATCACATTTTTTTTTTTTTTAACAATTTTAGCAGTCTCAAACTACATAAAACATTTTTTTATATTATAAAAAAAAAAAGGATTTATATGTAATCAAAGTGTACAAAAATTGTTTAAAAAAAATTACAGTGAAAAGATAATAGCATCAAAAGTTATAAGAGTTTTTATTTAGATCTGCTCCATAAGGTATATAAAGAGGTTTCACAAAAAAAAAATTACAATTTTTTAACACAATTAAAATGAAAAATGATTAAATACCATTTTTATTTTTATTATTGATAAGTAGTTTATTTAATTACTATTACAGTTTTTTTCTTGTAGACATCTTATTGCAAATTTGTTTTTAATTACTACACAAATATTGAATCTTTTTTTTTGTTTTTTTATTATTTTTTTTTTTTTTTTATTAAGAAAATATTACAATCTGTATACATAATACAATAAGTAAAAATGACTGAACAATGTGTTACAACGCATGAATATCGTGCATGAAGAAGGAGCCCATTGACACCACTTCAAAATAAAAGAATAATAATTAAAATTGTGAAACTAAATTTGTGCTAAAATGAGTTAGAGAAGGTCTCTAGCCCAGTTTCTTTTGAGTCGACGTAATGGGTTAATAGGGTTAGAGGGATTATGGAGATTAGATATTAGAGGGTTAGGATGGTTTTGTGTGTCACTGTGGAATTTTTTAAAATAGCAAGAAGCAAGTTCAGGAAGTGTTAGAATTTTTAGGTCTTTGTGGAGAGTTTGGTTACTAACATACCACGGTGCTCCTGTTATAATTCTTAGGTTAATTGATTGAAAGGATTGAAGGATAGAGATATTTGATTTTTTCGCGGATCCCCAAATTTGAATACCGTAGGTCATGGCTGGGCGTATGATTTGTTTGTATATTAGTAGTTTTATATTAAGTGGCATATTAGAACGGAGAAGATGTCTCAGAGAATGGAGACGTAGGTTTAATGATTTTCGTTTGTTTTTTATGTGGTAGGCCCAATTTAGTTTTTTGTCTAAATGGATGCCTAAATATTTAGTGTAATCATGTTGAGGAATTATGTTGTTATTTATCGATAAAGGAGGGCCATTGGTGGAACGGAGAGTAAATGATACGTGGGAGGATTTTCCTTCATTAATTTTTATTCTCCATAATTTGAACCAAGTTTGGAGTTTGTTGAGATGATCTTGGAGTGATTTTGTTGCAGAATTAGAGTCAGGATTGGAGGATAGTATGGCAGTGTCGTCTGCAAATGTAGCGAGATGTGTATTATTTGAGTGTGGAATGTCTGAGGTAAATATATTATAGAGGGTTGGGGCTAGGATGCTTCCTTGAGGTATACCTGCGTTAATAGAATGAATGTTGGATGTTTCGTCATCGCAACGTACGGCAAACGTGCGTTGTGATAAGAATGACTTTAACGTGAGGTATAAGGGAGCTGGAAGAAATCGAAGTTTATAAAGAAGTCCTTCAGTCCACACGCGGTCGAACGCCTGTGCGACATCAAGAAATACTCCTTCACAATGATTTTTGATTTCTAGGGATGAGGAGATGATGTCTGTTAATCTATGAATTTGGTGCAGTGTGGAGTGTTTATTTTTAAAGCCAAATTGAGTGTTTGGAATTGTTTTGTTTTCGTTTATTATAGGATATATTCTTTTTAGTATGATTTTTTCAAGGATTTTAGAAAGGGACGGGAGTAGACTAATTGGCCTGTACGAGGAAGGTAATTCAGGAGGTTTGCCAGGTTTGTGGATAAGAATTATAATTGAGTGTTTCCATGTTTGTGGTATGTATGATAATCTTAGTATAGAGTTAAAAATATAGGTGAGTTGTATTATAGCTTTTTTTGGTAGATGTTTGATGATTTTATTAGTGATTAGGTCGTGACCGGGAGACTTGTTATTTTGTAATTTTTTTATTAAAAAAAGAATTTCTGATGGGGAGGTGTGTTTAGTTGGGAGAGCCATGGGACAAGGAGTATCTAGTGATTCGGTAATACGTCTTGTGTGATCTACACTGTTTATGTAATATTGAATCTATTTATTTTTTTTAAAAAGAGACTATCTAAAATAATAGTGGGTAAAAATTATTTTGAACTAGATTAGTAAGCTTATAGTATTTAAAGTACAACCTTAAACATTATGTGAATTATAAATATATAAATGCGTCACCAAAAATGTTTTTTATAAAGTCTAAATTTATTTATTATTATTAATTGTCCATTTCAAATTATAATTATTATCTCAAAATACGTTTAATTAATTTAATCTTAATATGATGTAAATATACAATTTGATCAAAGTGACGTTCTAAATGTAAAAAAAACTATTTCAATTGAAACATTGGAAACATTGAGATAATTAATATGAAGTAATTAATGATATGCAGTTTAGTAAAACATTGCATGCAATTTATCTCATCAAACACGATAATATCAGTTGTATTCAAACCATTAAGTATAGTCTCATAATATTCTAGAGTAAATAATAATAGTACATTTATTTATGATGAAATTAAATACATAAAGAATCAGAACCGCTAACGATGAAAGTAAGAATTGAATTAAAGTTTAAATACAAATCATTAAGTTTTACTTTAGTCTTTTACTAAAAGACGAATAAACTCTGTAGTTAATAATCAATCGCCATAACCTATACTTTATGAGAGAAAGAAATAAACCGTCTAAATAGAATATAGCTGCTAAACACTCGAACGGCAAAAGATCTAACTAATCTAATAAAGATTACTAACTCTGCGAGTTATCATCTGAGTTAAGTCATACAGCTATATTTGTTCTTGTTAAAGAAAATTAAAGTTTTGATATTTATCCTTGAAGAGATAAAAAACAAATTTTAAATTCGTATTATTATAGAAATTTTTGAATCAGGTAATTTTTTCTTTACGAATGTAAAAATCTTTATAATAATATGTAGATAAAGATATTTTTTTAATCATTTCATAGATAAGCAACTTAAACTTTAAATTTCTGAATTGGAAAGCTCTATATTTAGTTTAATGATACAATAGGAAAAAAATTGATCTTATAATTATTTTATCTGATGAATCATTTTTCTGTTTTTGCATGTTTAGTAACTTTTGACTCTATTTTTATCTATTGATAATTTACCATTTAGCATACTATTTGTTTCTGGTACAATTCGATATAATCCACTATACAGAAATCTTATCATTAATAATTAAGTCTATTCTAGATATATATATTCTTATAATTAACGAAAGTTTTTTTTATCTCTGAAGGAATGAAAAAAAATGTATTTAATGACATATTATTGTTGAGTTTTTGAATTAAATAATATTTTCCTTTAAGAAAATGAAACATTTTTGGTAGTTTCTGAGAAAATGAGTGCTTTATCCTTTATTAATCACTCTATATTAAAAAAAAAAATTGTATTAAAAAAATATAAGAAGACATGTTTTTTCTAAAAAATAATAATAAACAATAATGTTTAAATCAATGATAAGATACCAGATTGCTACAACAAGGTGTATGGATAATAGATCCGACATAACATAAATTATAATGATTTTTCTTTATTTTTTTTTAGCATATCAAAAACCTGCCTTCGAGTAGGTTTATTTATTTTTTAATTTTTTTTTATTTATATTGAGGTCTATTACTGTGTATACAAATATATTTTATATTAATTTTTTTTGACAATCTAAATATCTGAAATCTTGTATTGTACCCCCTTTTTACATGATTCAATCGACTGATTCAAAAGGGATTACTTAAATTTTACTGTCTGCATTTTTAGAAAATCTAGCATTGAAAATAACTTCCAAATTTATACAACCGTTATAATGCATTATTATCAATATTGATGGTTTGATATTTCCTTGTTTTATAAAGATTAAGCTTACAAACCTTTTGGTTACTTAAAAAGTTGTCATTTGAAGTTGTCGTTCCACTGACTAATTTAAAACAATTTTGACATTTTGCTTTTATATTTTTATTGTGAATCGATTCGCATAAAAAAAGGCGACAAACATTTTTTCCCCTTATGTATGATCTTTAGTAATTAGTATTACACTATCTGCAAACATTTACTTATTAGTTTCTTTCATTTAATAAATTCTTGCATGATTTAATTTCAATATAAAGCTGAGAAAGTTTAACCATGATGTGTTTTTTTTGTATCTGTCAATGAAAATGTTCAAATCTCACTTGATCGATTTTGTTGATCTATGAGCGAAAAATTGAAAAGCCTTCTGAATTTTAAGAAAAATATCTACGCTACCGTATAAAGAATTTTTAACAAATATTTCTGAATTTTAAAACTGCTGTCATTTTTTTTATAACACTTATTCTAATGAAAGTTATATTAGCAATACTAGATAAAACAAACTATCTTTTAATAGTATTAAAAAGCATTTTATGCATTTTATAAAAAACCTAAGTAAAGGAACCCTTCAATTTAAGACCAACCATGTATCCAAAAATTATATCACGAATGTTTTACCATGTGAAATCGCCCGTCAAAATAAAAAACTATCCGAAATCTTGATTTCTAAGAGTTAACGGAAATTAAAGCTAAAAATCATATATATTTCTGTAAAAAGGACTGATTTTGAAGTTTTTTTCATAGGAATGTAACATCTAAATGATTAAAATTTAATTACATTTAAATTTTTTGTGTACTATACGATTAAAAAGAAGAAGGACGTTAAGGACAACGACTTGTCCTCTATGAGCAAACGACCACTTTAGGTAAAAAATAATTTAACTTTTGATAGTTATTAAAATTTTTTTTCAAATACGATTAAAACTTTGTATGACATTAATTTTCATTATTATCAGATATTAATCAATACTAATTTAAAAAAATTCCTCAACTCCATTGCACTTCATTTGTAAACTTAAACAATATGGTGTTATTTGCTCTCAATATAATGTCAATTTGTTCATAAAATTAAACCGCCAATCTGTAGAATGTTCACAACAGGTTGATATAAAAAAATGGATTTGTTTTCTTTTTCTTATAATATTAACACTATTTCTATTTATGACTAACTATCTTTTGTACAAATATCATAGATATAATAATCCAGCTATTATAGCATAAATATGTATAGATAATTGGTTATCATACAAAGAAGTCTATGATTTATTTTGACTAATAACTTTATCGAAAAATAAAAGGAATAATAATAAAATTATACATCTGTGTGCGTAATATTTAATTATCATTTATAATATTGACATAAAACAGAATGTTATTATTTGTATATGTATGTCACATATTATAAATATAAAAGATCACCAAAATAATGTTTCCGTCTTTAAAATACGAAATAACCAGTTAATTTAGGATTATATTTATTACATTACAGCACCCTAATGATTTAGTTTTTTCATAATATGCTATGTAAGTGTATATGATTTTGAAATATGAAATTGTAATAAATATCTCTTTGCTAATATTAACCGAGCTAAGATAAAATATTTAGGTTTCAGTAATTAAGGAAAAGATTTCTAATGTTCTCATTGTTTTGTAACAACTATACCCGTTTCTTTACTTACTGAACACCTTGTATAATATTCAACGTATGAAATTCCAGGACAAAAAAGTGGGACTACAAATTTAGTAATATAAAAATGATTTTGTTTTCATTTCACTACTAATACAGGTATTCTGAGGACGTTAATGGCTGTGTCTTTCTAAAGGAGAGTATCTTGTATTGTGTTACATAACAATGGATATTTACCCAAAGTTTCCACTGCTATTTTTCGGCGGGATCAATGTCGGTGACATCAGGATAATATATGTATGTATTTGTGTTATATACTTTATTGTGTACATAACATAAACGAATCCCACTTCTCAGTATCTTAAACGAACAGCGTGCCACTTGTACCCGTTACGTACACAACCATAGAAATAACCGCAATATTCGTTATTTCCTCTCGAGCAGTTGGTTGTTATTTCTCTGTAGGGTTTCTGAGACGGTTCAACTGTCCGACAAAGCATATATTCACAACACTATATGCTTATTTTCTGCACTAATGATAAAATAATAAAGAAATTCATAGAAATTATGTTATTAACGTTTATTTTAACATTTTTAATCTATGTGGTATTTAGTTTAGTTTATATTTAGTAGTTAATAAAAAAATTAAAACAATTCCAATTCACTTGAATTCAAATAAATACTTTGTAGCTTAAAAAAATTTAATAGTTCAAATATTTATTAAGTTAAAAGTATAACAGAAAAACTTGTATACAAAACTTTTTATATTGTACAGCGTGGGTTTGAATTTCAACTTACAGGTTGGTTAAAACAATGTTAAAAAGAAACCCTGTTAAACACAAGTAAACAGTTTAAATCGTTAAAAATTTCCCAAAAGACCAATTAAATTTTGAAATGTTTGGTTCTTTAACACGTTTTATACAATGTTTTAAACACTATATGCTAATAACGTAATAAGCGTGTCAACTAATGCTCATCAATTTAATCATTAAACTTATGAGCAATTGATTAACGTAATAACTTTCAATTATTCTTACAATTTACGATTTGTATAATAGTATATAATATATATTATATATTAGAAATCTAATATATTATATTAGATTTCTAACGAAATTTTAATCTCACTTGTGAAACATAAGAGTTCAGAAACTAATACAAGTTTAAAAATTAAACCTCATAACTATAGTGTTTTACATAAACAAAATAGATTATTATTATTAACACTATATGCAAATAGGTTATACTTGGTAAATATGAATACGAAAAGTTCTTCTTTCTTTGAAAGTATTACTCAACTAACAATTAAACTATCATAGTGGTACCACAGCCAATTTATATATACGACTGCCAAATATTTCTCATAATAATGTTTGGAATTTCAATTTTTAATTAATTGCATATATATTTATATCAAATGAATATCAAAGAAACTCAAAATTCTCCAAGAAAAACTTAAAAATGGTGCTGGTTATTTTGAGGAAAAATATAAATTTAGATACATTAATTATTTAATTAACTAAAGAACTTCCTCTAAATTTGTGAATTTTTAAATACTCACCAGACTAAGCATGTTTTAAATTGGCAGTTATATAAGAATTCAATATGATTGATGAACACATTGTGACCTCGAGAAAAATAACAAAAACAATAGTAATACTAGAACATAGCAAAACGATACATCGTTCAAATTAGATATTTTTACGAAGCCATGATTTTTTCGTTCATCCAAAAATCAACACTAGTTATACTTTCATAGTTTGACTATCCTGATTGGATGGCGAAAAGTAACAAGATAAACGCATAGAGTGTCCATATCGTAGTAGAAGTCCGAGTGGAATTGATAGAAAAGTGTCATTTTCAGTCCCTTATGCACATGATTCAATCAATCAAAGTCACTTTTTGAAAAGATAATTTATTTTACCGCAATAATGATCATGTAGGCGAACAAGTGTCAAATTTATATTGAACAGTGCACCTCATATTGTAGTTTCTATTTTATAGTTCGTTATTGTCATTAAAATAAGTGTATTGCTATGAAATCGTATGTCAAAATTATTTTTGTGTCTAAAAAATCTACATTAACAATTTGCGTTAATTAGTATTATATTTGCTACACAACTAATATATTTAAATTGGGTACAACAAGTAGTAGTATATCTTTTGGTAGGAAATTATAAAAGAAGTGGACTATTAAGTAGATAGTAAAGATATTGAAGTATCGTATGCGTTATTTGAATGTATTTGAGAAGCTTTGACATGAATTTTCATTAATCTAACTTATCTCACGTTGTATACTACATTTTTAAACAAACTCTGTTTATTTATTTTTTAAAAATAATGTTTTAAATTCAATTGAAAACACGTCCAGTAACTAATCGCATGTTATGTTTGTGTGTATTCAATCAGATTATTTACTCAAGTTTTGAAATTAAACTTTGTTTTTTTTATGTAATTAAATTAATGAATTATGGAGAAATTAATATTTTAATAATGTATCAATAACTAAAAAGTTTAAATACCTAGAATTATAAATGACAAATTTAAAAAGCATTAATAACCAAATTGGTACCCTATAAACTACTAAAGCTTATCTCAAATAGTTGTTGTAAATGTAATTTCTGATTGAGTCCTAAAACAAATAAAATTTAACTATTTTTATATCCTTAGGACAAAGAGGTTCTACTTGGTCACGTTTTAATAAAGAATGAGAATAATATTAGACATTGATTTACAATGGGGTTGGTTTATAGAGACTTGATGTACAAGTTAGTATAGTTCAGTTGACTAAATATGCTATGTAAGATGCTAGTAATTTGAATACGACCATTATGTCAAATAAAAGCCTTGAAAAAATATATCTATTATGGTTTGAGTTCTATAAAATTAATGTATTTATTTAAAAATGCAACATAATTTCAATGTATATGTTAATTTTGTTATTAATGTATAACAAACCAAATTTGGATTACTTTTATAAATCATGCTTATAAAAAACTTATGATTAAATTTGATAAGTTAAGAATTAATTCCACGTCTTCCATTATAAATCTGTGACAGATTTTTATACGTAAAAGATTCTAAACACTATATTTTTATTATAAGTATAGCTTTTATAATATACCCTTGTTGTTTTATCTTTGTTGAATAAGTGTTGTTTTTTTGAGAGAGTAAATTTAATTGATCAACACCAGTATTTCTTAAAGCTTTCTATGGTATGTCCAAAAAAAAAAATTTAAAAATATTTATATTTATATAATAATGTTACCAAGGCGGTATTGTGGTAGCCTAGTGTTTCCGGGCACTGATTCTTTGAAAAGATGCGGCACAATAATCACCAAGATAAAAATTAAGCACTAAAATATATCTCCTTATATAAAATACTTATATAAAATATATAAGTTTCTCTTCGTTGTCTGTTGGCGAAATGTTTTTTAAAACAATATTGACATTTTGCTTTTATATTTTTATTGTGAATCGATTCGCATAAAAAAAGGTGCCAAACATTTTTTCCCCTTATGTATGATCTTTAGTAATTAGTATTACACTATCTGCAAACATATTTATATAGAATATTGACCATTAAATGAATATTTAATGCCAGGTTTACTGTTAAAATAAAATAATTTAAAAAAAAATTTTGTTGTTTAAAATATTATTTGATATTTATTTCCATGATAAGAAGAATTGAAAAACGACCCAGAAAGTAAGAATATTGGGTAATATTGCAGATTTTGTATATTTTTTAATTACTGAAACAAAACTAGTTTCAATAGGAAAACATGGGTTTTTATTTTAGGTAATAGTTTGCCAAAATTTTTAAGCAAAATGATACAGAGAATATTATTATTTGATATGATATTTGATGATCAGTAAAAAGGGTCAAAATATTTTGAAAAATTAAGGGGGCCCAAAATGATTATTGCCTCTCCGTGTATTGATATTTAATGCGCCCTTGAGTATAATTTAAAATAAACTTTTTTTTAACGTTATCGAAGTAACAGATTTAAATAATATACACATAAATATAAAGAGTCCATTAATTAAAGGTTGCAAAACAACTGAGTTTTTATTTTATAAAATTACTAATCATGTCACTCGAATTTAAAGTTATTAAAACTCTTATAATACACGAATAAAAATCAATAACTGGTTATATTTTTCTGACATAAAAAATAAAGATAATTTTTACACAAATATAATTTTTATTTTAAATGATGGATTTGTTAGTCTTAGAAATTTTTATCTTTGTTTTCTTCTTTTAAAATAGAATACAATATCATAAATGTACAGCGTTTTATTATGAATTTTATGAGTAAGCATCCTAAAAACTTTTAGCCCTACGTTCAATGTCCAAACAATATAACATTCTCAAACACACTGAGTGGTAGATTTCAAATTGATATGTATACGTTTTTACTTAAGCCACTGCACGTATTTGAGATGTTTCCGGAATACTAAGGACATGTTTCGAAAGAATAGCTGATAAAATTCCAAATGAACGCAATAGTTCAAAACCATTATACCAAATTGTTTTTTTTTTTTGTTAGTGAAAATTGCTAGAATAATATTGTTAATATCATAACCATTTATTAGGCTAATTAATATTAACACAATAATTGGTGACAAATAATTGTAATTTTAACTCAATAATTACCTATTGGAATTAGGTATTTATTATAATTGTAATCAAACAAATTACCTAAGTTGGAATTTTTCAGTAGTATATTAATAACAATAAGCATTATTATTAAAGGATCAGCAAATTATTTATTTGAATAGTAGTTTAGTACAAGCGAAATAGCTGATTTTACTTTTCCTTTAATAACTTATTACCTTAATAAAATCTTATATTTTAAAAAAGAATTCAAATAAAATAAAAAATATTTTATTTTTATTACTAAGCCGCAAATATTATTCTTTAGTTTCGTTAATATAATATGACTCTTTTCAAAAATTCTTTTGTTGTACTGAAATTCATTATAAAAATAAAGGAATATGAGTATTTTTTTTTATACTTATACTAAAATTAATACAAAAAAAAAAATAAAGAAATGTTATTGATAGAAAGCTATTAATTTGAAAATCTTATATTTATCACGAAAATATAATAAAATGAAAGAAATGTTAAAATTGTTGTTGTTGTTGTTTTCACTTTGTTTTTGTTAATAATCCTTAGATTAGTTTATTGTAGATTTTCATGTTACTCCATCGTGACTCAGTTCTTTCAGGTACTTGTAATTACTTTTATTCATATCTTTTATCATCTGCGTTATATACTCTGCTTTTCATATATTTTCAACGTCTTCTTCCATAACTCCTTCAATTATTGCTTTTAGGAGGCTTTTATGTCATAATTGTATCCTATCATCTTATTTCTTTTGAATTCAATATTTCTTATAACTGTTATTTTCCCTTTCTTTTATCTAATACCTCATTATTTGTTATCCTCTTAGTCAAAAGTATTTTCCTGGACCATTACACGCAAACGGTTCCATTTTTTTTTTTTCATTGAAATTATAGATAAGTTTTCAAATCCCGAGAACGTTATAATTCATATATAACTTTTTAAGAAATTTTAGACTGATAATATTAATAGTGGTATGTGGCTTTTATTTTAGAATATTCTTTTTGTCTGTGATATACTGCAGATTATATTATTTTACAACGGTCATCTTTTGTTATATTGTTTCTTAGGTATATAAACTGTAATAATTTACAAGTACAACATTTTTACTTGTTGTATTTTTATATTATCTATCTTAATGTTAATTCGGCTAATATTATAAATACCATTATCATTGATTTCTTTTGGTTCAATTGCATTCCTTAACTACATTATTGTATTCTATCTAATACTATTAGGCTATTTTATAGATCATCGTTTACCACGCAGAATACCATAATGTTATTGTAATTATTAAAATAAAACAAAATTGCAATAAAAAATTATTGTTAAAACAACTATCTTATTTTAACGAACATATTATTGAGTATAATTTAAAAGCTATAAAGAAAACTTATAGCAATTATTGAAAACTTTTGTTTTCAAGCATACTATATTTGGCTTATAGTTATGAATTCTTTTTTTAGGATGTGAACGAATTTCTTAAAATGATACCATAAATTATTTTTGGTCTTGAAGTATAAATGTTAAAACAAATTAATATTCAAATTTTCTTTAGTTATTTGAAATTATTTTATTTTTTAAATATATATATATATATATATTTCTATGGATATTATATTTCAGTAAATTTAATTTTACTGTAAAAGACAAATCAAAAAGTTCTTGTATAATATCAAATAATATAATAATAAAATAATGATTGAAAAATAAAAATAAAAATTGAGGTGGAACTTGTATTGGAAATTATACTACAGCACTTCAATTGAAACCATTAAAAACCAAAAAAAAAAAAATGTAAACGATGCTAAATCAAATAATGATTTAGAAAGCTCTCCCAAAAGCATACTATAATATATTTTTAAAATTATATTCAATATGAAAATATTATGGGAAATTTCGTTATTTTTTAATTTGTTAGTTTTTTCAAATAATACCTCTTGATAGCAATATAAGTAACACATTATTCTGGTTCATTTTAAACTATAAACGTTTTTTTATTTTAATATTATCATGGTTAATTTTTTTTTTTTGAAAATATTATCTATAAACATATGAATTTTTGAACATAAAATTGCACACAAATTTACCAAATTTATAATGTTAATAAAAATTAATAATAATTTGTAATTGAAAAAAATAATTATTATAAATTTGCTCATATTATAAAAATTGGTTAATAATTAAAACTCTGAGTTGCATTTTAGGAACTGAATGAAATTAAATATGAAAACATGTATAACAATTTATACAAGTAACTAGCTGAATAAATCAAAATGGAAATTGATAATCAGGTTGCTATAAAGCTACGTATTTGTACACAATGTTGTAAATCGGCTAAATAAATTATAAATTTGTTTACCTTAGTCGATGCAGGAATTCGGAATAATTCGGCTTTTTCTCCCCGGGGCAACAATAACAAAAAAAAAACCTTTTACTTTTCTTTATTTATACTAGATTACTTCATCCGAAAACAAATGATAAAGCTGTTATTTCTCTTTGTCGTTCCGAATATTATGTAATTTTTACAATAAAAAG